ATGTGACGTAAGGAGATGTGGAACGAGAAGGAGGAGGGAAGCTTTAGAAGATTTACTTCATAGCACCTACCTATACTCTTAAGTTAAAGGGATAAAAGCTAGGTGACTAATTACTTATTTTCATTCTTAAAAGTTTTATTTCTTCAAAATTAGTCAGTGATGTGCAGGGGTTTTTTGTTTTGTTTTTTGTTATAAAAGCAAAGACTTCCTCAAAGGTTTTAATGAGTGCTGACTGAGCTGGCAGTGTTGGAGTATGTCAGCAGTGAAGATGGTCTAGGTTTTCTAGGCCGTGTGTCAGGGGCTCGGTAAGCCAAATCTTTCATCTTCTGGTCCCCCACTCTCTTTTCCCTACAAGTGAAAAATGCAGATTAAGAAAGACCTTCATATAGGAAGTTGTGGAAAATCTCTTATAGATAATCAGTGCATGTGACAAGAGCCTGTTTTTATTCCCTTGCAAACTTAGCCCTTAACTACATTGGTCTTCTCTGGCATTGACACTGCTGTGACCGCAGGTCAGGCCTGCTCATCCGGGGAACAGACTTATTGGGACTAAGGAAAATCGAAGCTAATTGTGAGAAGGCAGAGGTGTTGCTTACACTTGTGAGTGACCAATGTGCTCTCCATTCTCTTTCACTGTGTGGTGGACAGGTGGCCAGTTGTCCTGGCCAAGTCACCATGAAATGAACAGGACCTGTAGACTCTCCCAAGTCATACACGGAGATAAAAATGCTGGGCATATTTTTGGATTCAGGTTCAAAAAGTTGACTCTCTGAGTCACTGTTTGGGGGAAGAAAATGCTCTCACCTTCGTGAAGTTGTGAATTACGAAAGACATTTTTGTCGGCTTCCTGACTGTCCCCTGAGGTTCGTTTCATTTATAACTTTGCCTCAGGCCTTCTGCTGCATCCTGTTGGAATGACCTCCTTTTCAACCCTGTGCTGGCAGCTGTAATGCACCCCCCATCCTTCAAGCTTGTCACGTGAGAGATGTGAACTGTGACCCCTTTGTTCTTTATCCCAGATGATGGGCACCGTCCTTTTTTGAAACATTTAATAATTTTGCCTTTTTTCTTTCTTTCCCTCTTTACCTCCTTTTAATTTCCTACTGAGTTAAGATTTTTTTTTAGCAATTTAATTTTATCAAAATAGAAGATTGACAGAAAAAATACATGGACCATGGGCCTCCTCAGCATGAACCCCTCATGTAGACAGGCAGTGGTCACATCAAGTGGGAATTATCAAAAACTTCAGGAGACACTGTCCACCTGCAGTCACTCCTCAGGTCCTCCAAGGGACTTGCTCTGCTGACTTCTGTAGCTTTGCTTTCTGTAGCTTTTATGTTTGGGGACTTGATGGAAGTGCATTCAGTCTATGTTCCTTTGTTTCTGTCTTCTCATTTGACTTTATTGTCATAGGCGCCACATTACCCAGCTGTTATTACTGTGTAGTATTTTGTATACTAGGGATTGAACCAGGGCCTCACATATGCTAGGCAAGTGCATTACCTTTTTTTTCTTCTGTATTTTAGGAAAGGTCTCACTACCAGATCGGACTTGTAGTGATTCTCCTGTTTACAGCCTCCCAAGTGCTAGGATTACAGATGTGCGCCACCAGGCCCAGTCTCAGTTGCTGTCTCAGCATGCCCTGGGGGGTGGGGCCGGCACAACAGGCCCGGGATCGAACCGCGGCCCCTGTGCCTGCTTGCAGGTGCTTTAATCTGCTGAGCTATTTGGCCAGCCCTTAAGTGCATTACCATTGAGCTCCATCTTCAGCCTATCTTGTGATATTCTCCAGTCTGTCTTACTGTTATGGACACTGGGATTGTTTCCAGTTAATGCTGTTGTGAAAAGCGGTGGAAACATTCTCATACATGATTTCTGATTAAATATGACATTTCTGGATATTGCATAACAGTGAAATTGCCAAGATGTAGTATCCATCTGGCCATTTAATTTAAAATTGATATGAAGCACTGATCTTTCTGATTTTAGGCAAACTCTTTTTTTTTCTTTTTCTTTTTTCTTTTTTGTGGTACAGGGGATTGAACTCATTACCTTGCAGTTGCCAGGCAAGCACTTATTCTACTGAGCTATCTCCCTGGCCCACAGGCAAACTCTTGTAGGAAATATTTTTAAATATACATGATTCAGCTTTAGCAGAATACCTCTAACTTACACTAAAGAAAATGCCTGGGGCTGGAGAGATGGCTCAGTGGTCTAAAGCACCTACTTAGAACAAGTTCAGCGAAGCACAGGGACCACGGTTCAATCCCCCAGCACCACA